ACCCCCCCCCCCCCCCCCCCCCCCCGTGCTTTCGGGGTGCGTGGTCAACAGGGAAATGATTGCGACGCACTTTTCAACAGATGAAAACCTCTCCCCGAACAACCACCATCACCCCCGATTCTACAGCCATACGAGAGTGTCCCGGGCAAGAGGAACACGTGCGACGACCGTTCCGGGTTTCTTGGCGATGAAAGGCACTGCCTGAACAGGCCTACCCGCAGCAGCAACAGCTGCTCCAGCCACTCTTCCTCCGGGGAGATCGTTGTTCTTTCTTCCAGAACCAGGTTTGTCTGATCTCCCTTCGCATGCGACTCTCGTTTTGTGGCTTGGATACATACTTAGTATGTCTTTTTGCCGGTCGTAAACCTGCGTGGGCAAGTTTCTATCGGCTGCAATACGTTGACCCTCGTGGATCTCAAAACTGCGTGTTTCAACGCCGGCCCTCCAATGTAACTTTCCTCGAAATCTTGTCTGGTTCTTCAACGTTCTTGGCCTGTGCAAATTAGGTCCGGTTTTGCTAAAAGGAAGCGCGCGGCGCTCGCACAAGAGGAGCAGCGCCGGGAACAGCATCATGAGGACCAGCAGCATGAGGACCAGCAGCATCAGGAGCGGCCGCACCACGAGCTGCGGCATGAGGACCAGCAGCATCATGAGGATCAGCATCATGAGGAGCACCAACACGAGGGGCAGGAGCAGCAAGATGATCAGCGGAAGGTGGGTCGGCCCTAGAGTGTTGGATGCGTAGGGCTAGCGGCGGCCGACAACGTTGCGGCATCGCCAACTGAAAACATATAGTCATTGACGGAGATCCCGCCGTTGCGTGGGCATGGCGTTGTTGTTGTTGTTGCTTTCGTCCTCGTCGTCGTAGATGCTGTTCAGTAGCCATTCTGGTCTCTATCGATGAGGAGTCATCGACCAGACCGGACTGAAAACTGAAAGACCATGTGGTGATGATGTTCAACGCCCGCAGGGTCGAGACTTGTACGGTCATCCTCTCCAGACTATCTATTTTCGTCTCTCGATGGTAGTGTCCGTGCTGGTGGATTGTTTTCGTGGCCACTCAAGCGAAACCGGGTCTTTCTCGGAACCGGTTCTTCTGCACATTTTGCCAAAGAATCGGATCGCTCACAACGTCACATTGCCGTCATTATTCAATGTTTTTTTTTTCGACCCAGGGGTTGCCGGGGTCGACGCCGGATCATCCGTGCCAAGGTCTCTACCCCTACCCGGTACCCGTGCCCTCACCGCTGACACTTGATCTTTCCTATTCCGAGCAGCAAAGCCTGCTGCCAGGCGTCGAGTGGCCCACCCCTCTCCACGGCTGCGGTGGGAAAACGGCATGGTTCAAGGAACCGCGGGTGAGATGACGTGTGTGTGCTTTGAATCAGCATCGACCGCGCTGGCCGGTTGAACAATGCGAAGACGTTAGTGTCAGTGTTGCCGGTACAACACGCAAAACGCGTTGAAGTGTGTTTCAGGTATGCTGCAGACACGTAACTTGGGCGCATTTTGTTTGCGGTGAGACGACACGGTAATCGCCATATGGAAAACTCTCTTGGTTATGATAGCCGAAAAAGAGAAAGTAGACTGGCGGGGAAGAAGTGCAGGACGGTCTACCATAATCATCGGGGTCTTGGCACATATTGGGGTCTTGGCACAGGATGTGCGGAAAAAAAGCGGGTTCCGAATGATTTGGTAGATTATCGCACAGGTATCGTCGTCTCCGCACACTGTGCGGAGACGTCGATATGTGCGGTGAGGTTTGGCCGTAAGTGATACCCTTTCACCAGCACCTTATGCTGGAAATTTCGGATATTGTGGGAGCTTGAATCGCGTGCTCCACTGCTACTGCTGCCCTGGGCACCATGACGATGTTCAAAAATGTGGTGTTTGTACTCTTTGTTCTCTTCTTTTCGTTCTGAAGAATCAACATCGGCAAATCGGCAAACGGCATCCACTCAACAACTCTAAACGCGGATGAAACCAAAAACGAAGTGAAAAATCACACCAAACTACAACTACGAGATACCAACGTCTACTACTGTACTTCCCAGGCGGGTTGAACTCTACTTCGTGCCCGCGCCCCTACCATCCCAAAAACATCCAATCTCACTGGCAATTCAAAAGAACCATGATCCAAAGTTCGACTACTTCTCCTTCGGCGCCCCCGCCCCCCTGCCCCTCCACGACTTCCACGTCGCTGTCGCCCTCCAAGACCTACACGTCGCTGTCGCTCTCATCAGCGACGTAGGGCAGCAGCTTCCCCTCGACCTCCTTCTGAGCAGCCGTGATGGGGTTGGAGTCAAACCCCCCTGGTACCTTCGGCAGCTTGAGCGGCGGGGGAGTCACGTCGGGGTGCTCAGCGAGCCACACGGCGTGCTGCTCCTCGAGAAGGTCGGGGTAGTCTTCCCCGAAGTTGTGCTCGCACCAGGCGTGGTCTTCGCTGCCGTCGAGCGCGAGCGTGAGACCGCAGATCTTGAAGCAAGTCTTCACCGTCTCGGGGGTGATGGACTCCCACGATTCCTTGCACCACGTAGAGACTACCTCACGCTCCGGTGGCTTCACCTTCCCCGACCGGGCGTCTGCGACCGCCGACGCGCTGTAGGCGGTGTGCTTGCCCCGCAGCAGCCCCTTTATCTGCTTCTTGAGCATGCGGTCGAGCGGTTGGAGCAAGGGCGTCAACCCGCCTGGGATGAAGATGACGATGGTGTTGGCGTCTCTCTTGAGGGCGGCGATGAAAC